CCATACCCACGAGATCAGCAGAACTGACAAAAAGGAAGATGGCAGAAACTGGGTGCAGCCATTCTGGAAAGTAAGAATAGACCCTGAAAAAGCTGAGCATATGTTAAACTGTTTCATTGGAAGGAGAAGAGACAGGAAGGATGTGAGAGTGCTGGACAAATCGTAGACTTATCCTTTCCAAGCTAAATATTCTCGTTGGACAGAAGCAGCGACCCTAAGGCAAGATGATGTGTAGAAAACCTTCTGTCAGCGGACTAGAGTGCTTCTCCAAGCAGGAAGAGTTTGTTGCTACTTGGAGGGAAAGCTAAGCCAGCTCATGGTTGGCAATAGTAGAAGAGAAAAGGAGTGGGCAGCTTTCACAGATCTGGTGTACAGCACTGCATTTGCTCATCTGGGCCAGAATACTTAAAAATATCAAGTCTGGTTTGATGAAAATGATGGGGAAATTCAGAAGCTGTTAAATGAAAAGGAAGAACTCCGCCAGGTTTACCAGCAGGATAGTTTATCCGTTTCTAAGAAGGCAGAATTTAAGCTTGAAGAGATGGAGTCTTGGCTCAGTAAGAAGGCAGACAAAATTGTTTTGTGTTGATAGTAACAATCCAAAGAGCTTTTGTGATGCCCAGAAGGCTATTTATGGGCCAAAGACCTATGGTGCATCTCAACTACTCAGTGTTTATGGAGCCCCATTCATTAGTGATAAGGACCTGATCCTGGAGAGATGGGCTGAAGACTGTTATCAATCAGTGCTGAAGCCACTGACCTTTTGCCTCAGGTTGAAGTCAATCCCTCCCTAGCCGAAGTTCCAACTGAAGAAGAGGTTTGGAATGCCATTAGGCTCCTCTCATGTGGTGAACAGCCTGGTGCTGATTCTGTTTTAGCTGAGATTTATAAGGGGGGGCGGTGTCCACTGATCTTACAAAAGCTGACTGAAATTTTCTTGATTATATGGCAAGAGGAGGTTATCCCCCAGGAGTTCAAGGATGCTTCCATTGTCCATTTCTGTAAAGGTAAAGGAAGACTGTCCTGTGACAATCACAAGGAGGTCCCTCTCTTAGTCATTTTTGGCAAGATTCTTGCCAGAGTCCTCCTTAACGGGCTGATCCTTCACCTGGAAGATGGTCATCTATCTGAGAGCCAATGTGGCTTCAGAAAGGGCCGAGGAATGGTCGATATGGTGTTTGCTGCTTGATGATTCCAAGAGAAACGCTAGGAGCAGAACAGAGGTCTGTGCACCATGTTTGTTGACCTGACTGAGGCCTTTGATACTGTCAATCATGAGGGCTTGTGGAAACTTATGTTAAAATTTGACTGCCCAGAGCAGTTCATCTGTATTGTATGTCAGTTTTATGATGGCATGCTTGCACAGGTTCTGGATAATGGAAAATGCTGTTTTTCAACAGGGGAGTGAAGCAAGGTTGTGTGCTTGCTCCCATGCTTTTTTTAGGGGGGAGGGCACAAGTGGGGTTAAGTGACTTGCCCAGGGTCACACAGCTAGTAGGTGCCTGAGGCTAGATTTGAAATCAGATTCTTCTGACTCCAAAGTTGCTGCTCTATCTACTGTGCCACCCAGCTGCCCCTGCTCCCATGCTTTTTAGCATGATGTTTTCAGCAGTGTTGCCAGATGCCTTCAAGAGGACGAAAATGGCATCAAGGTCAGCTACTGCACTGATGGTAAATTATTTAACTTGAAAAGGCTACAAGCCAAGACTAAAGTGGAGGGAGAATTGGTACATGATTTTTTGTTTGTAGATGATTGTGCGCTCAGTGCAGCCTCTGAGGTCGAGATGCAACAAAGTATGGATCGGTTTTCTGCCGCTTGTGCTAATTTTGGCCTGACAGTTAACGCCAAGAAAACAGAAATCCTCCACCAGCCAGCACCACATCATGCATATGTGGAACCGTCACGTACAACAAATGGAGAAATTTTGAATGCTCTGGATAAGTTCACTTACCTTGGCAGTGTATTTTCCAGGGCTATACACATTGATAATGAGGTTGAAGCACGCATTGCCAGAGCTAGCTCAGCATTTGGGAAGCTCTGAAGGAGTGTGGGAGAGAAGAGGTATTAGGCTGCCTGCCAAACTGAAGGTCTGCTGTTGGGCCAACCTCATTGTTGTATGCCTGGGAAACCTGGACAGTCTACCAGCGCCATGCCAGGAAACTGAATCGCTTCCATCTGAATTGTCTCAGGAAGAATCTGGAGATCACCTGGCAGGATCAGGTACTGGCAAGGTGAGCCACTGAGTTCGTTTCTCACGTTGAACCTCCAGGCATTCAAACTCTGCTGCAGAGAGGGCAGCTCTGATGAACATGGCCTAAAAGACTATCTCATGGAGAACTTACCCAAGGCAGGTGCTCCCGTGGAGGTCAGAAGATACAAAGACCTTCTCAAGGTCACAGAAGAACTTTGGAATCAGTAGTGTGACATGGGAGACCCTGGAACACGACTGCCCGGCATGGTGCAGCCGCGTCACAGAAGGCGCTGTGAGCAAAGCCAAGCGTAGTAGCTTAAAAGCCATTTCCACTCCACATGTTCACGTGGACTCTTTGTGCCTGACCTGTGGCAGAGCCATCTGACCAGCCAGTCGGACACACTGTACCTTGACTCCAACGTGGTGATGTCATGTCACTTGGGTCCTCTTTGAGCACAAAGGACAGCCACCACCCCCACCACCAAATGGGGTTAGAACAAAATAATAATGCCTGAATCCCCAGAGGACAGTGTAGTGGGGGTAACTAGTGAGAGGTCCTATTTTGGACCAGCTCCTATACTACAGAGGCCATTGTCCTCTCTTCACATCTTTGGGGGCAGAAATTTGCTTTATTTTTTTAAACTAATTTTTCTTGGCTGCCCTCCACAGAGCTCTTCCCATCTGCTGTGGCTCTTTAGGAAGCAGACCACTTGTCGTGGTGTGGACATCACGCAGTGGACAGTTCTTCTTTTTGGTTGGGACTGCGTGTCCCCTTCCTGAGGGCTATTTTGGATCACGTAGGGGGCACAGACCAGCAGAGCTGCGGTCCTAGCAGAGATAACTCAGTCAGTATGGCTTCAAGACCTGGGCTGGAAGGGCAGACTGTGTCCTCTGTGTAGACCAGCCTAGCAGTGTTCAGAGAGGCCCATCCCCAGAAGGCAGGCCACCAGGTAGGGAGTGGGATTTTCCATCTAGAGTAGGGGTCCCTGACATGTGGAGGTAGGGAGAAAGCATGCCTGCCCTGAAGCAGTCACTGCTTCATGGATTCAGTCTTGATATTCAAAGGGGCCACGGCCGTCCCTTAGGCTAGTTCCCTGTCATCTACAGTGGAGTGACAGATCTCCCAGATTTGAACCCCACAGCCAGTGAAGAAGCCAGGGACTTCACTCAGGCACCTGTGCTTGGCCCACGACACTTTCCACATGAGGACAGGCCTCAGACATGAGGAATTGTTCCCAAAATGGAATTCAAGCGGAATTTTTTCTTTGGAAATACCACGGTGGGCAAAGACATGTGTGGTACACTATGTTTTTAAAACTGGAGTCACTGAGAATTTCTCAGGGTCCCTAGAGTTAACTGTGAATCTTTGATTTTAACCTCTTAGAGATTTAATTCTTCTTTGGGGCTTCTCTTCTGGGCTCTTAGGCTGACGTACTCCTTTCAGAGTCTCTCTGTCTTTTCACTGCGGACTCTGCTCCCTGTGCTTCTCAGAGGTGACTCTGGTCAGCTTCTTATCTCTGGCTTCCTTGTTTTTATCCCTTTTCACAACCTGATCTTCCAACTGCTTCTTGGTATGATGACTGCCTTCCAGAACAGGACAGTCTTTCCTGACCTACTCATGAGGTGGTTCCCTTTGTCGTCTGAGGTCGTTTGTCATCTTTCTTCATGGACGTGGTCGTCCTAAAACCATGTGGAATAGCAGATGGAGTGTTGGTATGGGTTGCACTGGTGTTGGCAGACTTTAATTTGCATTTTCTGATCCACGTGGATCCTACAGCACATAATCCTGTGTATTTCTCTATTTTTAACCTCAAATCCTCTGAAACTGCACAGTGGCTTCAGAAATATCAGATATAACAGGTCACCAAGGCCTAGGATTCTAGTTTGTAGATCAGTAACCTAAAGATTTGTGACTTTGGTGATGTGGGTACAGCGCATGAGTCTGCTTGACCGTGGTGGGAGGCGTTTGTGGATTCCCGTGACCCAAAACAGCTTTTCATCTGTTGGCCAACCTTTTGGCGGTGACTTTCCATCAGTAGCTCTGCTTGCTTTGGACTCCAGGGACCATGGGACCCACAGGTGTCCCCGTTGTAGCTCCCTCACCCCTCCCAGCTTCTTTTTCTCTATTATCTTCCCCCTTTAGATTGTGAGCTCCTTGAGGGCAGGAACAGTCTTTATTTGTATGCCTGGTGTTGAACCCAGTGCCTAGACTTGACTTGAGCAATATGATGGAGTAAAAGGCACGCTGGGTGGGAGTCAGGAGACCCTCCATATTGGCCTCATTCTGCCATCTGCTTGCCTGATCCTGAAGAAGTCGGAGGGCTTGGAGTGAGATGATGTAGGCTCAGATTCTTATGTGACCATGAGAATGTCACTCAGCCCATAAAATGAGGGCACTAGGCTAGATGACCTCTAAAGGCCTTTTTGGCTTGAACCTGGCCATGCCTCAGTTTCCTGCTGTACAGAACGGGCAGGTCAGAGTAGATGACCTCCAGCATTCTTATAATTTATTTTTCACGTTTATATTTTTTGGTCTGGACCTGTGATTTCAGTGGTGTGGGGACCACAGAGTGTAGAGCTCCTTCCGTGTCCTCAGGTCTGCATTCTTTGTAGTTTGATGGGCTTAGTAAGTGTCCCAGGGCACGGAGAGGTAGATGGTCTTCCTGACTCTGGCCACTGTGCTCTGCTCTCCCCTATCCCCCCTGCCCCCCATTCATAAGCATATGCCTACAGCTTTTATGGCTGCATGCTTAAAAGCAGACTTTACTCCCAAACAGCCCTGATTGTTTCTTTTGTTGGTTTTTGCAGTGGACAGGCCAAGATCTCAGCAAGTGAGAACTTCCAATTCAATAAGACGAACCTCTTCTTTGGATACCATAACGGGACCTTACCTCACAGGGCAGTGGCCCCGGGACCCCCACGCCCACTACCCGTCGTGCATGAAAGACAAAGCGACTCAGGTAAGAGCAGGGGAGGAACGTTCTCTCGGGTTGCTTCTGCTGCTCTCAGCCTTGGTTTGTGCAGGAAAGAAACCTTTCTGCGGCGTGTGTTGAAGTAATTTGGGCAGAAGTCATTCTAGTGTAGCCAGAAGTAAGGAGGCCAGATTGCTGGCGAGTCATCTCACTCATTACCTGGAGTGGTGGTGCGCCTGGGGACAGGGATGAGCCCATGCAGCAGCAGGTCAGCCCTCTCTGTCGTCGGCCCCAGGCTAAGCAATGGGGGCACAGGTGGGAAAGGTGACAGCTGCTCCCTCCCTCCCTCCCTCTCTCCCTCTCTCTCTCTCTCCCTCCCTCTCCCTCTCCCTCCCTCTCTCTCTCTCTTCCTCCTTTCCTCCCTCCGTCCCTCTCTCTCTTCCTCCTTTCCTCCCTCCTTTCCTTCCTCTCTCCCTTCCTCCCTCCTTTCCTCTCTCCCTCCCTCCCACTCTCTCTCTTCCTCCCTGCCTCCCTCCTTTCCTCCTTCCTTCCTTCCTTCCTCCCTCCTTCCTTGCTTCTTCCCTCCCCTCCCTGCAGTGCAGTGCTCGGCACAGAGTGAGTGCATAATAGATCAGCACAAAGCTTCTGCGGGCATCCAGATGCCCCTCTCCTCCCCCAGCAGGTCTGACCTTTCATCCAGTATCATCTAGCCTAAGAGGCAGTTGCTGAAAGGTGCACAACAGTGAAAATGTCATCTGGCTTCCAAAGCCTAGAGAGCCTGGGCTTTGACTGCAGAAGACCCTGTCACTCCTCCTGAGGCCTCTGCCTCTGGCCCCTTTTCCATGCCCTTTCCCATTGTCCATCTTGTGGTTCAGAGCACTTCCCCCAAGTTACTGAGACCCAGTGACACGACTGCCAGGCCCGTCCCCCAAAGAAACCAAAAAGAGCACGAGGCCCTTGACGTACAGAAATTGGCAGCTCTTTTTGTGGTCACCAGGGATGGTGAACGCAGGGTGTGCCTTCCTCTTGGGGAGCAGTTCAGCGAGGGGCTGTCCCCGAGGGCAGTGGGCGAGGAGCGGATGGTCTTAGAAGAGACTGGGAAGGCACAATGACAGCAACGTCGTAGGGAACCCAATCGGTGCCAGGATCACCCCTGAGTCCAAAAGGACAAAGATGAAAAGGCCGCTCCTCTCCTGGCAGACGTTTCGGACATGGCCGTTGTGGGGGGGAGTTTTGCGAGATTCTGCAGCTGTGTTGAGGGGTTTGTTTTTTAATTTACTAATGGAGTGGAGTGGGGAACAAGCAATTATTAGGTACTTGTGTGCCAGGCACTGTGCTAAGTGCTTAACAAATATTATCTCATTTGCTTTGATCCTCACGACAACCCTGGGAGGTAGGCACTTTTATTCCCATTTTACAGTTGAGAACATGAGGCAGACAGAGGTTAAGAGCTTTGCCCAGGGTCACACAGCTTGGAAGTCTATGAGACTGGATTTGAACTTGGGTCTTCCTGACTTCAGGCCCACCACTCTGGGTACTGCACCACCTAGAAACCTCTCTGACACCTAGCTGCCTCAGTGGGAGTAGAAGGGCTAGTGGGAGAGGCAGCTAATTAAATAAATACACAGGTAAATGAGTAGCCAAACAAACGAATGAATTAATAAAATTGGCAGATGGCTTGAGCAGGGAGGGGACGCGAGGGGCACCAAGCTCATTGGACGTTAGGATGACGAGCTTCTCCCGCGTGGTCCTCCTGGAGTCTCCATTCTTCAGAAAAAGCTACATTCGGTGGCGTGGGGCCGTGAAACATCGTCCCCAGAAGAATGGTGGTGTCACAATACATGGGCCTTGTTTGAAAGACTTGCAGTTTCCCAAAGGCCATCTGGCCCTTGGAGATCTCCTGGCTCATCCTTTTATGGTGTCTGTCCAACGTGCACGTGCCGGTGCACCTGCCTGATGGGCTGCTCTGGACAGCACATGGAGAGTGAGCCTGGATTTCATGTAGTAATAAGAGCTTCCGCTTCGTCCTCACAAGAGCCCTGTTCCCCTTGTACAGATGAGGAAACTGAGCCTGATGGACACCACTAATGAATGCCATCCTCAGGCAAGATTCAGATTTGAGCCAACTGGATTTCACACTCAGCACCTTATCTGCTGGTGTTTGGGGAGAGCCCTAGTGCACAGAGTGCCAGGCCTGGAGTCAGGAAGACCCATCTTCTAATCTGGCCTCAGATGCTTCCTAGCAGGGTGACCCTGGGCAAGTCACTAGACCCTGTTTGCCTCAGTTCCTCGTCTGTAAAAGGAGCTGGAGAAGGACACGGCCAGCCAACAGCCATATCTACTCTGCTGCCCAGCCGAGGAAGCTTTCTTCCAGAGGCTTAACTCAGTCCACAAAATGACATTTGCAACCAGGACCGTCTGTGGGGAGTGCCTCCTCTACTGGGGCCCTCCTCGACACCCCTTGTGGGTGGCAGATGCTTCTGGCTAGCAGATATCTGCACCTTCACCATTCCCCTGGCTTGATAGTCAGAATTGGAGGGTCATCAAATAGAATTATGGCTTTTAAGGAATTTCGTATGATTTTGAGATCTATCCGGACACGCTGTTGGAACAGAGCCTTTAGGAAGTATTGTACTCTACCGAATCACGTGCCTCCTTAAAGGTCAAGCACCGTGAGGTCGCATACCGTCCACACTTTTTAGTCGGTTGTGGGATGCTGAAGATGGATGACCCGGTGTAAAACACTATGGGAGAAAATCTGCCCGTCCCTTTTTCTCATCTTCATCAAGGATGCTGCTGATCCGCGTAGAGATTATTCTCAGATTTGGGTGGGGTGGAATGGAGGCAGGGTTGGGGTAGTTGTCCTTGGCGTTTTCTGACCGCTTTGTTTCGGTGAGAGTCGAGTCACCATGTCGTCCCAGACCTCCCTGGGGCCGGTTGCTCTCCGTCTCTGGTTTTCTTTAGCGTTGTTTCTGTATCTCCCAGTTTCTGTGGCAGGGATGCTGGCTCCATTGTCGTTGATGGAGTGACAAGTTGGTTATAGAAATGCTGACACATCTTTTCGATTTTTTTCCCAGTTTCACTCATGGGGTTTGAAGCTTCGGTTCAGAGTGTGCCAAGGTGGTTCAGCCTCGTGTCAGGGGCCATCTCTGGGGGTTTCTGATGCTCGGCGTTCACAGCGATAGTGAGCCAGAATGGATTGTGTCATGTATTTTTCTTTCATTAGACCCCGAGCTGTTGGGCTGAAGAGGGGGCAGAGAAGAAATCCCATCAGCGGTCGGCATCATGGGGCAGCTCGGATCAGCTGAAAGAGGTAAGCCTCTTGTGGTGGCTGGCCACGTGGTGGCCCGGGGGATAACAGAGCTTTAGTGGCCCATACTGGGTGTTAAGGTGTGGTCATTACAGGGAAGTGTGAAGCTTCGCCTTTCTGGAATGATTTATCCTTAGAGCTTCTGGCCAAATCTATTTCAGCACTTTTATTTTATCTCAGCATTTTTCCATTCTCTTCCTCATTTAGTTTCATATTTCCCACTTGGCGGGGCTCCCGCCAAAGGCTTTATTTCTGGCCGTGTGACTGTGTGGAAAAGTCAGTTAAGCTCCAGGGGCCTCCCTTGGTTCTCCCATCCATGAGGTGATCCCTTGGGCCCCTTGTGGCTCAGAATCCTGGGCTGCTCTGCTGTCTGGGCACCAGGAGTCGCCCCTCGCTGGTCTCGGCCCTCTGTGGGTAGCCAGTGACCCCTCTGCACAGCCTTGCACTTCCAGGGCCTTGAGCTGGTGGAGTCCAAGTGGGAGGTGCCTCTGCAGTTGGCCAGAAGGCCTCCCGAGGCCCCCTGCACAGCGGCCAGGCTTCTCTTCTCTCACTGTTGCAAAGGAGAGGGCAGCCCGCAGTCTGGAGGGCTTTTTCTCAGAGTTTGGGTACTTCCTTGAGGGGCTGACAGGCCGAAGGGTGCGTGGCACGAGGGAGGATCTGGTAGACAGGGAGGAGAGCGTGCAGGGCACAGTCCCCCTTCCCCCCAGCCAGTATGGGGGGAGGGCGTTTTGCTCAAAGTGGCTCCTTGTAGAGCTTTGCTGCGTAACCCTAGGGCTCATCTTCTCACTCCTCAGGGTCGTGTTCTCCCTCTTGAGGGCATCATGCTGAAGTGGGCGTGGCTGACCTCAGGAAAACCGGCGTCTGTCAGCATAGTGAATATAGGGTGCTGGGCCTGGAGTCAGCCTCAGACACGTCTTAGCTATGTGACCCTGGGCAAGTCACTTAGCCTCTGTCTGCCTCTGTTTTCTCATCTGTAAAGTGGAGACAGTAATAATAATAGCACCTGCTTTGCGGGGTTGTTCTGAGGATCAGAGGAAAGTGTGCTATGAATGCTGCCTATCATCATTTTTCAAATCTGGCCATCCCTGGGCAAAAGAGCCCTCTGTCTTGGCATCTCGCATCTCGGTTTCCCTGTCTGTGGAAGGGGGCAGGGTGGTGATGAGGCCCAACTGAAGCAGAGGGCTTGGGCCCAGGAAGATGCCCAGCCCTTCCTCTGAGGTCTCTCCTGCACGTGTCGCTCCTCACTGCTGCCTGTCCACCCTTTTACTTTTCTGGTGCTTCCTACATGGTGGCTGTTCCCAACCTCCCCTCCTTGTCGCGGACAGCGTCACCCCAGGCATGGAGGCTCCTTCTCGAGTCTGCGATGGAAGTCGCCTTGATACCGCCCCCTCCTCTTTGGCCCCAGGCTCAGAGGATGCTTTGGCCTGTTCGACCCGTCCCCTCGACCCCATCCACTCCTGGCTCTGCCAGAAGCTCGTCTGGCTGATCACCCCTCTCCTGGTTCTCTGGAGGAGGCCCTGCTGCTTTCCCACGGGCCTAGATTTTCTTTAAAAACAAACCAACAGATCACAAACCCGTAACTCTCTCTTTTACAAAAGCTCCCTTTACTTTTTGTCCCGCCCAGTCTTGCCTGGTCGATCACTTGCAATTCCATCGGCCTTTCCTTCTTGACCTCCTGATCCCCCTCTTCTCTCTGGGTTTTTGTGACGTTGCTGTGCCCGGCCTCTCCTTCGTCTCCTTAGCAGATTCATCATCGGTGTCCTGTCCGCCGTGCTTGGATGTGCCCAGGGCCCACGTTTCCCTGGCTGGCCCCCTAGCAGGGTAAGTGGCCTGCCTGGGCGTGAGCTAAAAGCAAAGACACATTGCATGGATCCCTTGCTAGTTGTGTGCCCCCTCGTCACCGCTTCGTGGCGGACAGCTGTGCTGACGCTCCCGCCAAGACCATGACCTGAGAGGCTTCGTTGGACTTTATGGTCCAGGAAGGATGACTGCTTTTATGTATGATTGATTGTGGATGACAGTGGTTACTTGTTTGTTTATCATAATGGGGGTGTTCAGAGCAGTCTGAGCAGGAAGCAGGTCTTCAGATTTTATGTTGTCAAGACTTGGATGAGAAGTTGGGAGGAACGAATTATCTGCTTGTATATGGTACCGATTTGGGGATTTGCAGTCTTAGGTTATTTACATTCAAAACTGGCTGCACAGCGTGTCGTGTTTGGGGGCCCAGGGCTGGCATTTAGTCTCTACGTGCTCTACGAGCTCCCTCCACAGACTCCTCAGCTCTTCCTGGCTTTGGAGTGAGACAGGACCTGAGAGGGCATCTCTCCATTTTACAGATGAGGAAAGCAGGTCTCGGTGCCAGGCACTGTGCTGAGTGCTGGGCTTCATAAACTTCCAAGGGATTGGCTCGAGGTCACACAGGGAGTCAGTGGCAGAAGGCGATTCTAACCCAGATTCTTTTGTCCCCCAGTCCAGCCTTGTGTTGATTTAGGGAGTTATGCAGGTGCTGCCTATCTCTCCTACATGGTAAGAGCAAGACTTGGATCCTAGTCTTCCTGGCTCCAGGCCCAGCCCTCAGTCTGATCTGCTTCCATGCCATGCCACACCACATCTGGCCTCCCCAGTAGTGGTCGTGTCTGACTGGGAGCAGAAAGAAGCATCGGGCAGGCCTTTTAATTAGACCCCTCTTTGGAGATACTTTCTTTGGCATCCATGTGAAAAAAGGACACTTCCATCCACGTATCTTTTTAAGAAGCGGGTTCTGGTTGGTGCCCTGGATGTGATTTACATTCCTGGCACGGAAGCCTTTGTTAAGGACTCCATGATGGGGATGAGGACTGGCTGTTTTCTCTGGGGTTCAGATTTTCCTCACTGCCTGTTGACCTTCTCATCACAGACCCAGCCACGGAGAACGGGACTGTGTGGTCAGGGTCACAGCTAGCATCGGGGGCTTCTGTAGCCAGTCTGTCAGATCTACACACGTCGAAGTCTGGCCTTCTCTGGAAGTACAACTTCTGGGTCACCATCTTTTATTTTTCTTACCAATGCTGTGTGTGTGTGTGTGTGTGAGAGAGAGATATATAAAGGAAAACTAATCTTCAGTACGTCTTCGAGCATGGAAACTGGTGTTCACTAGCGCTGCTTGCTAGTTGTGTCCAAAGCAAAAGAGGCTGGAGGTAGCCAGCCATTGGCCTGGTGGATCCTTCTGACCTGTTTAGTGGTAAACACCTTTTTGGCCTCAGACTCTGGATTTCTTTGAGTTCTTTCAAATGGAATACTTGGCCTCACTGGGCTTCACAGCATTGGCTTAGGGTCTGGAAGTGGGGATTGCCTTGAGTGATTTGTAGGTATTATAGGATTATTCCTATTGGTATTCAGTGACTCTTAAGTTACTAATAATCTTTGACAATTGAGAGTTTTAAAAAATGACCATGTTGGGCATAGGGTGGCCAGTCCTGATGTTGGGTATTGTCTCCAAGTTTGGAGGCCGCACAGTAGGAAGAACATTAGCTGTAGACATAGGAAGGAGCCAAGTGATTTAAATTCTTTGGGCTTCAGTTTTTTCATCCATAAAATGGGGGTGATAATACCAACAGCACCTCCCTCACTGGGTTGTTGTGAGGAAAGGTCTAGGTAAACTTCATGGTGGGGGGTAGTTCTGTCGAAGAAAAGAGCGACATTTCCTTAGAGGACTAAAAGAGGCATGTTTAGGTGTTTAGTGGTTTAACTCTGTAGCTACATTGTTTGAAGGACAGTGGGCCCCGAGTTCTCCAGAGGAAAGATGGAAGGGGATGCCTGACCATCTCTCTCTCATGCTGTCATAGCAATGGAACCTTTACAGATTGCGCTTTCAATTTGGGCAAGTTTCTAGTGCGGTTACTTTCTCACGTTTTGTTCAAACATTGCCAGTGCCTCAAAGAAAAAGATGAAGTGGGTTTACTTTTCCAGAAATGTCTGTTAAATGGTCCACTTGTCATAAAAGGAAGGGTCAGCAAATTTGAAACACTTGACTTTTTGGTAAAGAAAAATGCACAATTCATCTTGATTCAACACTTCCAGTAGGTACTCTGCCACAAGGGAAGCTGCTAACCTTTGGGTAGTAGAAAGATGTTCAGGGTCACTCCCTATTTCATTATGAAGAATCATAAAGTTTCTGCTTCAAAGCCTCTCCCTCTAAGACTGTCTTCTCTATAGCTTGTTTTTGTGCATAGTCGTTGGTCTGTTGTCTCTCCTGTTGGCCTGTGGACTCCCTGAGGGCAGAGACTGGCTTCCGCTTTCCTTTGTGTCTGTGCCCAGGGCCTGGCACACAGTAGGCGCCTCACAGATGTTGATTGATGGGTCGATTGGTTGGGTATCCCTTCACCCTCTGAAGACACTGCCAGGCATTCATGTTGATGCCCCATGGAGAGCAGAGGGGTCAAATGTGCTGGCAGCACCAGCTCTCCGGTGTAAAACGGTGATGGGAAATGGGAAGGAGAGCACTCCAGAGAATGCGGATTTGGGGTTCTCGGAGTCGAGGTGCAGAGGCTTCTCTCCCCGAGCTCACTCCGCCCGCTCAGGGCGAGGTTGGGGGTTCTTGGTTTTACCTGGTGTGAGTCCACACCCTTAATCATTTCACCCACCTTAGGCTCATTACTTTCTCATTAGGTCTGATCGTTTGATCAGGCCACCATTTTTGATGACAGTGTTGACAGAGCTCTTCTTAGGAGCAGCGTGGGAAGCCCCTGAAAATGTGGGGATGAGGAGTGTCCAGAGCAGGGGGATTCTTCAGAGGCATGATTCGGGCAGGAATGTGAAGGATGGGGTGGAGCAGGAGGGGAGGGACGGAGAAGGATGTATGGGGCCATTAGCATCAGGGTGGGGACTTGGAGGCGTAGAAGGGGCGCTGACCACAGGAGATGTGGCAATAATGATGAGAACGTGACCATGGATGTTTTCATAGGGTAGCACAGCGGTTACAGAATACATATACATACACTGACTGCTGTAAAGTTTGCCAGGGGCATTAGGTGGTTAACTCAGTTGAACCTCTTTATACCTTTGTGAGGTAGGTGCCACCCCCATTTTACAGATAAGGAAACTGAGGCCCAGTTTCCTGAGGTCACACTGAGGTGACTTGACACCATCTTGTGGAGATGGGATAGGAAGGGCTCGTATTTGGACGTGAGCCGTGGGAGGCTGGGAATGAATGGTCGTGCCCCAGACAGAGGCCGAAGCTTCACTAGGCACTTGTGTTTGACGCTGGGGAGTCATGGGATAGTGGAGAGGAGGGAGAGGCTCGGGCAGCCGGGGGCCGCTTGGCCCCCTGCATGCTTGTCTGCTGGTGGCTCTAGCAGAGCGCTCACGTGTGGTTAGCGAATGGTTCAGGGGAGCCCCGGCTCACCTGTGCCTCCTCCTCATGTCTCTTATCCAGCAGATCGCCAAGCTGAGACAGCAGCTGCATCGTGGCAAGCAGAGCAGTAGCCGGCACAGCCACCGGGAGAAAGACCGCCATTCCCCTGCAGCCAGCAGCCAGACTCAGGTGAGCCAGGCCGGTCATGGGCCGCAGAGGACAGGATCCCCACAGGCGGAGATCCAGCGGATTGGGGAAGGACGGGATGTGAGAAGCTCAGGATGCTAGGTTACTTTCTCATTTTTTAAGAAGTCTATTTTCTTAAGCCATGAGGGGTTGTCACAGTGCCTAAAGCCTTGGACCTACAGTCAGGAGACTAGAGTTCAGATCTAGCCTCAGACTCTGACCATGTGACCTGGGCAGGTCACCTAACCTCTGTCTCAGTTTCTTCACCTGGAAAATGGAGATCATGGCACCAACTGCCAGGATTCTGGGGAAGGTCACGTGGGCCAAGATGTGTACGGTGTTTGCAGGCATTCGAGTGTGGAAATAATAAATGCTAGGTATTATAATACTATCTTCAAATTTTCAGAATAAATTAAGAATTGTTATTTTGAATCATCCTTGATTCTTCATGGAAAACTTTTGAAGATTTTCTTTAAAGTATCCATGTAAGTATGGCAGAAATTCACATCTCACACCATATACCCAGATAAGGTCAAAATGGGTACATGGTATAGAAATAAAGGGTGCTACCATAAGCAAATTAGGCGAGCACATAATAGTTTACTTGTCAGGTCTGTGGATAAGGGAAGAATTTAGGGCCAAACGAGATAGAGAGCATTACAAAACGTTAAATGGATTATTTTGATTATATCAAATTAAAAAGGTTTTGTACAAGCAGTGCAACCAAGATTAGAAGGGAAGCAAAAGACTGGGGGAAAATTTTTATGGCAAGTGTCTCTGATAAAGCCCTCATTTCTCAAATGTATAGAGAACTGAGTCAAATTTATAATAATACAAGTAATTTCACAGTTGATTAATGGTCAAAGGATACAAACAGGCAGTTTTCAGACAAAGAAATCAAAGCTATCTATAGTCATGAAAAAATGCTCTAAATCACTATTGATTAGAGAAATGCAAATTAAAAGAACTCTGAGGTGCCCCCACACATCTATCAGATTGGCTAATATGACAGAAAAGGAAAATGACAAATGTTGAAAGAGACGTGGACAAATTTGACACTGAAGCACCGTTGGTGGAGCTGTGAACTGATTCAGCCATTCTGGAGAGCAATTTGGAACTATGCCCAAAGGGCTACGAAACTCTGCATGTCCTTTAACCCAGCAATAGCACTACTAGGTCTGTATCCCAAAGAGATCCAAGAAAAGGGGAAAGGACCTATCTGTACAAAATATGTATAGCAGCTCTTTTTGTGGTGGCAAAGAATTGGAAACTAATTCCTCATCAGTTGGGGGACTGGCTGGACAAGTTGTGGTGTATGAATGTGATGGAATATTATGGTGCTATAAGAAATGACAGGCAGGATGATTTCAGAAAAACTTGGAAAGACTTCCTTGAACTGATACAAAATGGAGTGAACAGAACCAGGAGAGCATTGTACATAGTAACAGCAGCATTGTATGATGAAGAACTGTGAATGACTTAGCTGTTCTCAGCAATATAGTGATTTAAGACAATCCCAAAGGACTCTTGATGAAGCATGCTATCTGCCTCCAGAGAAAGAGCTGATAGAGTCTGAATGCAGATCAAAGCTTACTTTCTTTTCTTTTCCTTCCTTCCTTCCTTCCTTCCTTCCTTCCTTCCTTCCTTCCTTCCTTCTGTCCTTCCTGAGTCTTCTTCCACAAAATGACTAATATGGAAATATGTTTTACATGCTGGCACATGGCACATATTTAACCTGTATCAGATTGCTTACCATCTCAGGGAAGGGGGAGGGGATAGAATTTGGAACTCAGAAATTTAAAAACAAAAGAATGTTTAAAAATTATTTTTACATGTAACTGGGGGCAAATATTTTTAAAAAAGAAAAGTATCTGTTTAGTAGAAAGAGCCGCGGAGCTGGGGGTGGGAAACTCAGTTCTAGTTTTCGCCCTGTCACTTACTTGCTGTGCCTTTCTGAGCCTCAGTCTCCTCTTTTGTGCATTGGGGATGATCTGCTTGGAGTCCCAGTCTTTCTTAGGACTGTTGGTAAGAAAGTATTGCCGTGCTCTGTCAGGGCAGCTACATGACGTGTCCCTGGTCCTCAGAGGGTAAGGTTGGGATGGTGGCGGCAGCTTTCTTTCTGAGCATGTGAGGGATTTCCAAGATCACCTTTTCTCAGGCTTGTCTGCTCTTCACCCACCTAGTTAATAATAAGCAGGGAGGAATTCCCCAAGGGATTCAGACCCAGAGAGTCCCATATGTTCTGTGGGGACAAAGGGGTGGCAGTCCTGGAGGAGCTCTCCCATTCACCTTTGGAAACAGAGTCGGAAGGTGCGTGTCTTCCACGTCTGCCCGCCTCCGGCCTGGCCTCCCATCAGCGCACTCTTGCCTCTTCCCTTTGCTTCTTCCACCCCGAGTTCCCTGTTCATATGTGCCTCTGTGCCAAGCCTTTGAAGGCCCAGAACCTGGTCTCTTTGAGCAGACACGGTGCTGAGCCTGGCACCTAAAGAACTAGGTGCCGAGGGACACAGGCTCAGTCGAGGAGGTGCCACGGGCTGGTCAGCTCTCTATTTCTGCTCCAGAAGAGGCAAGTGAAAACCTCGACCTGAGATGATCTGCGTCCTTAGAAGGGGCTAACCTCCCTGGACTTTGAACGCTCTGCCCTCCATTACATACTGCTCAGGCACTTCCCGGAGCCCGGCATGCTGCTCTCCCCTTTTCTAGAGGCTGCTTGTCCTTCAGTCTCCCCTCACAAGAAGCCTTTCACTGGCCTGCGGGGCTACTCTAGGCCCCACACTGAGCCTTGTTAGCTGCTGGCTTCACGAATTGTTGATCAAGGGCAGGGACCCTGATAGAAGCTACATGTGATGGAAACTTTAAGGTGCACAATTGGTGTCTTCTCTCCTGACCCACCGAGCTCTGGGGCCCTTCCTGCCCATAGACAGCGAGATGGGGCAGAACTTTGGTGATCAGTCGAACCCAGATGGCAAAATGCTTCCCCATTGAGTTTCAGTCCAGTTCTTTAAGGTGCTCTTCAGTTTCAATTTTTATAAATGATTTGAAAGCCAATCCTGGTTGTCTTTTTAGGCTGTTGGCTCAAGATCTGTCTCTATGCCTCTGTCCAATATCTCAGCGCCAAAGTCCGCTGTTTCACGGGTACCCTGCAACGTAGAAGGAATCAGCCCAGAACTAGAAAAAGTGTTCATTAAAGAAAACAGTGGGAAGGAGGAAGGAGGCAAGGTAAGCGGGCCTGAGTCTCTCTCTCTTTTTGGTAGGTGGGGGCTGGCGATAGAAGGAAAAAATCTGAAAAGGTTCAAAATGTCTTAGGAATGTTTTCCCAGGAGCTTCCCTCCTCAAGGTAAAGTCTGAATGTGTCTGCACCTCGCCCTGGGCTGGCATGTGGGCCCTAAACCCATAATCTGTCTGTTTAAGCTGGAAGCCTGCTCTTTTTCACCCAGACAGTGCAAAGCCAGGGAGGCGTCAGCTTCACATTGTTAAAAGTTTGTATGACAGCAGACCTGCCTTGTCTCAGATGTGACATAGCACTCTCTGAGCCGCGTCTCGCGAGGTCCGGAGCGTTTGTAAATTTGTTCGGGAGACACTGACTGTTCCGCCAGGCCAAAGAACAGATCTCTCTTCATGCTTTTTACTCGTAGCAATGATTTGGAGGTTGCTCTATTAAAAAACCCCATGTCATTTATCTCTTGGCATGTGTGGTCCCCAGGTCGCAAGGACACTGGCTTGGTGCTCATAGCATCAGAATTCAGACCCTCCCCTGATGCTTCCCAGTCGTGTCCCCTCTCTGGGCCTCAGTTTCCTGCTCTGTAAAATGGGGTACTGCATTCCGTAGCCCCTGAGCTGGGATCCTATGAGCATCACTCTTGTTTGAGGGAGAAAGCTCAGTGGGACTGTGTTGGGGAGTGAAATGGATGGAGAGAGTGTCTGGAAGCAGCAGTGCTATCTCCTGGAAACGTGTTTTCTGAATACTGTAGCTTAGTCACCAAGCCCTTGTTCAGTGCCGCTGTGTGCCGGGCAAGGCAAACCTCTGTCTGCCTCAGTTTCCTCAGCTGTAAGATGGGAATTATAACAGGGGAGTTGTGAGGATCCAACGAGATCATATTTGTAATATGCTTAGCGCAGTGCCTGGCACATAGTAGGTGCTTAGAGTCCCTACTTTCTTCCAGGCTCATCTCAGGGACCAGCTTCTTCTGTGGAGGCCTTTCCTGGTTCCCCCTCCCCTCCAAATTAATGTGTTATTTTGTATTTATCTTTAATGTGCTTATGTTAGTACATATTATCTCCTGGAGCTAGAACATAAGCTCTCTGAGGACAGGGACAATTTCACATTTAACTTTGTGTTTCCAGTACCTTGTACAGGGCCTGGCACTCAGCCTGGATAGGTAGAGAGACAGACTGTCCAAGTCTTTAAAAGCCAAATGGACAAGTTTGACTCAAGAGGCAGTAGGGAGCCCCAGAAAGTGTCCGAGTAGGGGACGAAGATCCGGACAGGTCTTGGTTTTAGGCACAGCACGGGGAAGAGGCCCTGGCTCTGGAGTGGGCTCCGATGCCACCTTGGATATGTGCCCTGTGTAGTGTTCCTTTGCCTCTTTTAGGGCCCCAGAACCTCATCTCTGAAAGGAGGGGTCTGGCCACGCTGGCCGCCAAGATCTGTTCCAGCTCCAGATATGCAACGTAGCGATTCTGTGAATGTCCGTCTGCCTGGCAGCCATGTGGGAGGTGGCCTAGAGGAGGTTTGGTCAGATGCAGGAGGCTGGTACGGTAGCCAAGAGGAGAAAGGATGAGGACCAGAAGTAAGGGAGAGGCCAAAGAGGCAGAGACAGCATTGGTGGGCACCTGGTGAGATTGTGGCATGAAGGAGAAGGGAGAGGTGCAGATGACTTTGACATTTCAAACCAGCGTCGCTGGAAGGATGGCCATACCCCCCACAGAAATGGGGAAGGTTGCGGAAGAGTATGAGATTTGGGGGGTGGGCATGATGAGTTTAAGAGGCCTGCCGGACAGATGCATGGAGGTGTCATGGAAAATGAGTTCAGGAGAGAGGTGAAGGCTTGGATACACAGATTGGGAGGTTGCCTTTGTAGAGATGGTGATTGATCCTGCAGGAACTGGTGAGCTCATTGAGGGGGAGGAAATGAAGAGAGAGGAGAAGAGATGAAGAGGGACCAGGACAGAGCCTCGAAAGATGCCTTTGCTTAGTGTGCATGAGAAGAAGGGCAGTCTAGCAAAGGAGGCCCTGGAGGGGTCAGGCAGGGAGGCAAAGGCCCCAAAGAGAGCAGGGTCATGGAAGCCAAGAGAGGAGCATTCCAAGGGGAGCATCAGGTGGTTAGTGTCCAGAGCTGCAGAAGGTTCAAGAAAGATTCTGATGAAGGCTGGAGAGAGAAGGCATGTCTTTGGCCATTAAGAGATCATGCGTAAGTGGGAAGAGCAGTTTGGGGAGCCACAGTTGGAGAAGTGATTGGGAGGTGACGCAGTGGAGGCAGAAAAGTCAGAAATCAGTAAAGATGCTCATATTCTCAGTCTCGCCATCACGCTCAAGTGTACCACCTCCACATTCAAGAATTCTGAAATCCCTTATCTGACCATGGTCTGTTGACTTTCCACCTCTCCCCAACCCTCCCTTACAAAGCCCTACTCTTCATGTGCGCCATGACCTCCAGTCCCTTGACCCCTCCATTCTCCCCCAGGCCTTCTTCCTTGCGCTTGCTACTCTCTTTTCCTCCCCATCTTGGCTCCTTGGTGAACCATCAACGTCACACTGACCTCCTCTCCCGAGTAACCTCGTCTTCTTCGCTGCTGAGGCCAGCTCCTCTGCCTGCTCACGGCTTCCCCTTCCATCCCGTCTCCTCCAGCAGACTGCCCCTGTTCATCTCTGCTCTGTCTCATTTCCAGGCTGTCCCTCTCCATTGCGCTGCTTCCGTTCTGCCCACAAACATGCCTAGGTCTCCCCATTCTGAAGAAAGCCTCATTTGAGCCTTCCATCCCCACCATCATCTTCTTTCTCAGCTGCTCTTTGTAGCTGAACTCCTCACAAAGGCCATCGACAAACGGGGCCTCTGCTTTCTCTCCTCTCACTCTCTCGGCCCACCTTACAGTGTGGCTTCCAGAGTTACCCTTCCACCCAAACTGCTCCCTCCAGAGTTACTCATGATCTCTCAGGGACCAAATTCAGTGACCTTTTCTTAACCCTCATTTTCCTTGACCCCCTCACAGCCTTAGACACTGTTGGTCGTTCGCCCCTCCTGGATTCCCTGTTCTGTCTAGATTTTCAGGCCATCCTCTGCCCTCTCTCTCCTGGTCTTCCTCCCTCTCTGACCGCTCCTTCTCCATCTCCTCTTCTGGATCCTCCTCCAGAACGTGCCCTCTGACCCCAGGTGTCCCTCAGAATCTGTCCTGGGTCCTCTGCTCCTCTCCCTCTGCACTCCTTACCTCACCTGGTGAGCTCATCAACTCCTATGGATTCAGTGACCATCTGTGCTGACGGTCCTCACCTCTGCCTGGCCTGTCCTGCCCCAGTCTCCCTGCTGACTTCCAATCTCCCATCTCCAAGTGCCTTTCGACATCTCTATCTAGATGTTGAGTGGACATCTTAAACGCAGTATGTCCAAAGCAGGACTTGTGATCCTTCCCCCTCCACCCTTGTCCCTTCTCCCTTTCCTGTTGCTGTCGAGGGCACCCTCATCCTCCTCGTCCTCTAGGCTCCCAACCTAGGAGTCCTCCTGCATGCCTCACTCTCTCTCACCACCCACATCCAGTATGGTGCCAAGGCCTGTTGATGTGACCTGTGCCTCATCTCTCAGACAGGCTGCCTTCTCTCCTCTGACCCTACCCCTGCCCTGTACAGGCCTCCATCCCCTCACACCTGGATGACTGCAGTAGCTGTTGACAGGTCTGCCAGCCTCAGTTCTCTCCCCATGCCAGCCCATCCTTCATTCAGCCACCAAAGGGATTTTCCTAGTGTACAGCTCTGACCATGTCATTCCTTTCCTTAGTAAACTCCAACGGCTCCCTATGGCCGCCAGGATCAAATACAAAGTACTCTGTTTGGCTTTCAGGAGCCTTCACAATGGCCTTGCCTACATTTCCAGTCTTGTCCACCTCGATCCCCAACACATGCTCTTCAGTCCAGTGGTCCTGGCCTCCTGGCTCTCTTGGCTCTGGGCACTCTCTCTGGCCATCCCCCAAGCCCGGAACATCTCTGTCTTCTTCTCAGACTGCTGACCTCCCTTCCTTTTTTTAAGTCCCAACCAAAATCCCACCTCCTCCAAGAAGCCTTCCCAAGCCCCTCTCCGTTCTGGTGCCTTCCCTCTCTTATCCTGTATGCCTTCTCTGTATCTGTTTGTTTGTATGTTGTCTCCCTCATTAGATCGTAAGCTCCTTGAGGGCAAGGACTGGCTTTTGCTTCTTTTTGTATCCCTAGGACTTTGCACAGTGCCTGGCACACAGTGGGCACTTAATAAATGTTTATGGATTGATGGAACTGTGTTCTAGAATTTTGACAAAATGCTAAGTCATTGGCCTCCCCCCCTCCCCACCCTTTTTAAATTGGAATGGTGTTTGCCTTTTTCCAATTCTGTGTTCACTCTGCTGTGAATTGGCATGCCTGCCAGAGCTCGGCAGGCCCTGGCAGTTCTTTTGGTGTCCAGGGAGATATTTCCTCAGGGCCCGGGACCTGCCCTCCTCTATGGCAGATCCATGCTGGCTTATCTGGGATCAGCTTCCCACCCACCATTTTTGTTCTGGAGAGAAAACCAAGGACCCGTTGGAGATAGGTGTCTCTGCTTTCTCTCTGTGGACTGGGGTCCCATCCCAGCCCCAACAACAGGCCCGGACGTTCCCAGAGGCTGTGCTCTTGTTCGCTAGAGCTTGCGCTTGCCCCCCCAGCCTCTGGGCATAGCCTTGCAGGTGAACAGAGGGAGTGAGCCCAAGCACTTTTTGAATCCGTGTCTTTGATTTCCCCGACCTTGTGCTTTGTTTTTGCTTATGTCAGATGTAGAATTAAAAAGCTTTGGATCTCGTCTCTTCTGCCTTCCTGCCTTCCTGCCCTCTGCCCTTGGGGGAATTTCTGAGAGCTTTGAAATGGCTCCCGCTTGGAGAAGGGGCAGAAGAAAGACAAGAGTGAAAAAGAACCACTGATGAGGCTGGCTTGGGCTCTGCTGTCCCTGAGAGTGGAAGTTTGACCGCCAAGTCACAGGGTGATTTCCAGTGTGTTACACAGTGGGGTGTGGAACCAGGCGAGGTGATGGGCACACAGACCAATCCCCTGGCAGGGTTTTACACAGGGGACAAAATGCAGGATAGTTAAGGCAGAGCCAGGGAACCAACTTTTTCAAACGTAGCAGTGTAATCCGTGAATCAGCGTGCTGCAAGGTGTACCTACTGAGATCGACCAAACTGGGTTGGCGAAAATGTTATGCCAAGGTCAGGTCACGTCACCCAGTGCTTACTGTGGGCCAGACACTGCTCTAAGCTTGGGTAGAAGGAAGGGTGGAAGGAGACCCTGCTCGCAGGGGACAGCTCCATCTCCGACGAGCTATGCAGAGGTTAGGCCCCATGTTGGAGGTACCTCTGTTGTTAAAGGGTATTTTAAATGATTGCTCTCTACACCAAGCCAGAAATCATTTGGGGATTCCAGCTCAGGTGCCCGGCTGTCTGATAGTGTCAGCAGAACACCCCGCCCCGATTTAAAGCTCAAGCTGAGAGATTGGGTGTGGAGTTGACAAGGCAAGTGTCAGCTCTGGTGCCAGGCCCGGCCTTGGGGCATGCTGCGGGAATAGAGAAGAGAGGACAAGAGCCCAAGACGAGTCTCAGTGATGGAGAGGACGTGTTCCGTTTGTCGGCCGGTGGTGCTTCTGGGGGTCAGTGGAAGGGCTCCTCGAGGGGCTGGCGCTGTAGGCGTGGGATCCTACAGCCCCAGCGAGGTCGCCGGGCAAGCCTCCCCCCGGAAGGTACCCGCCCAATGGCAGGTGGGCCGCGGGAGTGACCTCTTGGGGCGCTGTTTGTGTTCCAGCCCCTGGACGTTCCTGATGGCCGCCGCGCCCCACTGCCTGCCCAGTATCGCAGCAGCAGCAGCGGCACTCGCAGTGTAGACACGCAGACGCCATCGGTGCCAGAGCGCAGCAGCAGCTGCAGCAGCAGCCACTCGCCCTGTGTGTCTCAGGACGGCAGCCCATGCTCCACTGAAGACTTGCTCTATGACCGAGATAAAGGTGAGGAGGGCCCAGGCCGGTGCCTCGTCACGAGCCACCATCACTTCAGCTTCTTGGTCTTGGGGGAGAGCGGAGGGTGTGCTGGGAGGGGCACCCATGACCTTTGCTGACCTTTCCAGCAAGTTCCTTCCTGCTGGTTTCCTGCCTCTCCTTCAGGTGATTTTCACAAACACCCTCCATGAATGCCGGGGGTAGCAGAGCCTGGAGCGAGGTGCCGCAGCGGGGGGAGGATGTAAAACATTAGGGCCTGTGGGTCCGAAGGTCAAATGACAGTCACTGTTCTGGTTGATTTTGCATTTTGTCGTGCTTCAGAGTACATTGGTGAGTCAGAATTGTTGGGAAGGAGAACCATTTCAAAAGAAAACTAGACAAAAAATCCATTTGAGTATTTAAATGCCAGCTTTTCTGAATGTCCGATAACTAGAAATACGAAAACTGATAACGTAGCAAGTGACTCAGTTGTCCTGCCTAACTTCAGGTAAGGCCTTTGTAAGCTCTTTGACTACAGTAATAATTGTAATAACACCTCCCCTGGTCCTCTCCCCCCCATCACCCTTCTAGGGGATAGCCTCCTGATTGCCTCACAACCCTATGATCCCTTCAGGCATCAGCTCCCAGCATCTGAAGGATGCTGCCTTGTTGAGCCCAGCGCCTGGCACATGTCAGCCCTGAATGAGTACTTACTCACTGACCGCCAGAACAGCCAGCCCTGGCCACCTGTTACTGGCAGTTCCTTTATTATTATTATTAATTAAAGATGAATGGGAAATTCACCATAATAATGCTAACGTGTGTATTGTGTTGAGGCATCTGTTACCTCCTTGGAGGCTCACAGCAGCCTGAGGAGGCAGGGTCATTGTGCCCGTTTTTCCAGACGAAGCTGAGGGAGGTGCTCACGAGGCTAGGAAGCATCTGAGGCAGGGTTGAACTTGGGTCTTTCTGGCTGCGAGGCTAGGCCTCTCCCCACCACGCTCAGGAGCTGCCTTCCCACATGACCTGAGTGTGTGGCGTGTGAGGCCCTTTGGTGGGCTGCGGTGTCGTGGCTTGAGGCAGCCACGTGGGCCACCCAGGCCTTCAGGCGCCAGTGTCTGGCCTCTGTCCCTTCTTCCTCCTGTTGCCCCCTTCCTGGCTGAGTCGCTGTTTCCCAGCCTTTCTCTCAGGGACCGATTTGTTGAGTGGTGACTGACCAAGATGTCCCCAGTGGCTCCTTACAAGCCATTCCAGGTAGAATCCTGGCCGGACCGAGGGTCAGCATTTCTGCTTGGACGTTTGGTGTTCCTCAGTGCCATGGGGGAGGACGGTGGGGAAGGCCCCTTTGAAATCGGGAGCATTTTGTGTTTTGTTTTTGAGGCGCCTGTGTTTATAAGGATGAAGATTCAGTAGTTTAAGCTGATCTTTTTATTGTGAAGTTTCCATTTTTAAACTTCTGGTTCAAGTGATGTCACATGCCCACGATTCCTTCCTGTGCCGTTTTTATCATTCAGCCGAGGGATGGAAAACGAATCAGAGGGAATGCCCTGGGCAGCTCCCCCTCCCCTGACCCCTTCAGCTCCCCTTGCGCTTCCCCCAGGGTCCGTCGATACTCAGTGATCTGGAGCTTCCCGCCTTGAAGGGCCCCGAAATCCAAGGACTCTCCTCTCCTCCCTTGGCCGTGGGTGTTTCCTCTGGTGACTCGGGCCGGGTCTCTTCTGTGAAACCTGCCTGTCGAAGAGAGGAAGCTGGAAGGCCCAGGAGGGCCTGAGGAAGAAAACGTAGTCACGCCGTGGACCATTAGCAGACCGGCTGTGTACCGACAAGTGCTCTGAGTGTTTGACTCAGTGAAACCCCACTCATGGTCAAGCTGCTCGGGGCAGCACCGGACACATGCTTGCGAGCAGCGGCATGGAAGCTGGCCTCTGGAAACAGAAGGCTAGGCAAGGGGAAAGAGGCTCGCTGCACCCAGGCAACCTAAAGGGCTCTTGTTCTTGGAAACGGAAATCGAGGACTGAACCTTGGGTGGAGTGGACACCCATCTGGTCAGGCCTCTTGGCTAAAAAATGTGAATTTGTGTCATCCCAGTCTGGGAAGGGACCCCAGAGACCACCTTGGGACCTAGCAGCCTTTGCTGGAAGGCCTCCTCCAAGGCAGGAGACTCAACCTCCTGAGAGGGCTCACAGCCCATTCGCATGGCTCCAGCTGTGACCTGCGGCTACAGGTGGCCTCCCTGGGGTGTCTCCCCATTCCTTCAAGGTCTGCTCTCTGGGCCCAGGGAAGGCACACCTAATCCTTCCTGTGCATGACTGCCTCCAGAAACCTGGAGATGGCTTTGTGGTCTCTTTATAATAAGCAAGGGGTAGGAGCTTTCATCTGGGATTGATGCCCACCGGGGAAACTGAGGAGTTGGTGACTTGCCTGTGGTCGTGCTTAGAGTCCTGGAGGTGGGAAGGGGCCTTAGAAACCACCTTGTCCAACCCCTCGTTTTACAGATGAGGAAACTGAAACACAGAGACATGAAGTTACCTGTAACAAGTGAGTGGCAGAGGTAGGGTCAGACTCAGCCCCTCTCACTGTCTAACTCCACCCTTCCTGTCCCTGAGGTGAGATTGGACAAGGCACCTCCTCCTTCTGGGACCCTAAAAATCACAGACTGACCTTCCTAGGTGAGAATGGATAGGTGCCGGTTACAACATGGGGAAGTCCAGGGTGAGGCCCTGCTGCAGTGGTTGTTTGATGGCTCAGCCCATAGGGCAGGGCCTGGGCTCTGCTGGGGGCTTGGCCTCTGTCCGGCCTTGCAGTGGCACAGCCCCCTCACGTGGCCCAGAATGCACATCTTCACTCTGAGTCAGTCAGGGCTGCTATCAAGTTGAATTAGACAAACTCGACCACGCTCGGCATCCGAGAAGATCAGGTCGCATATCTGCAGAAGCAGTGATGGCAGCAACGTAGCTGTGCCCGAGCACGTGCACCTGAACAGACAGGACGGGTGGACGCAGGCCGGACCATCTTAGTGGCCCCCATTGCCCCAGAGTGGCCGAACGGCAATGATGAGCATCGCCCAGAGACCAAGAGGAGGCCCGCCCCATGGGACCACTGAGGGGTTCTGGAGAAGGCCAAGTAAAAACCTGATCAGGAAATTGTGTGACAGAGACAAGATGATGAGATGTGGATCGATCTGCTGGCATAGTTGAGGGTCTATTTCCGTGTATTTCCATCCACCTTCAGACTTCCCATCACTGGAGATAGTAAAGGCAGCTTGAGAAAGAAAGCTAAGACCTCATTTGTGCTTAAAGATATCGGCAGCTCTCAGGCTGAAAAAACAGTGGTTCTAGAGGAAACGCTGATTCTTTTACATATAATCCTGTGCATAATGTACAAAGGTTTAATCATTCGGCCAAATTGTTAAACCCTAACACATGCACTTTTAAAACGGCAAACTTGGCCTCTGTGCAGATGAACAGGGACGTTGTAGTTTCCAAACCAATGATTTCCAAGAGGGTCAGAATCCTATTAGTGAATGGGGTGTGGATGGGGCTCTTGGGATTGGAGAATTAAGATTGAAAATAGAGAAGAGCCCTTGCCTTTAGATTTATAGATTTGAAATTGCTGGATAAGATCACAGGCCAACTCTTAACGTTTTTTTATACTTAGCACACATTTAACAGCATGTCACATTTAAAAAGACTTGATTCTCCAGGGTTGTGGTATAATCTAGTGAAAAATGCTTGTACCTTATCATGCATGTGAAGAAAAGGGATGCCATTTGGAATGCCATAGGACTGAACCCTCTGACTCCAGTGTGCATCATTTCTCTTACTGTAACATTCCAGTTTAAATTCCACACACAGTTCTCTGGGAGGAAACCTTGTTCTCCAGCCATAGGGGAATGAATGGGCCAAGCCTTTAGTCAGCACTGTGCTGAGCGCTGCCCAGAACCCAGGCCTTCTGCTTCCCCCAGGCTCCACGCCCCCCTCGTTGTTGGCGGCCTTGCTCTCTGTCCTACACAAAGCAGTGAGTGAGCAGTTGTGATGAGGGAGGTCAGTGTGCGGAACACTTTGGGGTCGATGGCACTCTGCAGACCTCCCCCCGCCCTGTCTTTCACCCAGCTTATCCCTCCTCACCTCTCTGGCTCCTGGTGATGTTGAGTCAGATGAGGGCAAGCCCAGGAGCACGTCTGCCTCGGAGCCAGCTTTGTAATCAGCCTTAGACGTCTCTAGGCAATGAATAAATCAGCCCGTGAAGAAGACAATGGGAAGCAGACCCTGCCCTCGAGGAGCTTCTGCTCTCTTGGGGAGATGGCAGGCACTCATGGAAGTACCCGTGAACGGCGCCACAGCAGAGCTGGTGCATGAGTGGAGTCTTGGAGGATGAGCAGGAGTGTCAGAGATGACGGGAGGGGTGACTTCATCCCTGAGGCAGGGCGCGAGGCCTTCAAGACCTGACTTCAGGCCCAGGGCACTAGCTGTGTGACCCTGGGCAAGTCACTTCACCGCTGTTTGGCTCAGGGTTGTGAGAACCAGAGGAGATAGCATTTGTCTAGAATGTAGCCCAGTACTGGGCATACTGCAGATGCTGCACAGACGCCTCATGCTTGCTAGCTCTTCTTTCTTTGGAGGGACAGTGAGGCTGGCGGTTTCGCTTCCAGGAGTCAAGATGACACAGTAAGAAGTGAGTCGCTCTCCCCCTCCCTCATTGACCTCTGAAAGCCTAGAAACTATCGACTGAGGAAAAACCCTGAGCCAGCAAAAAGACAGGGCGCTGAAGTCTTGTAGCCCAGGAAGCTTGGGATGTTAACGGGAAAGGGCCCTGGCGCTCTGGGGGAGGGGAAGCAGTATGGGATGGGAGGCGTCCCAGCACTCCAGCGGCAAGCCCCACCTCAGCAAACCAGAGGGAGATCCTGAGACCCAGGTTGGTGGAGCGGGCAAGTGCCAGCACCAGGACCCCCTAGAGCCTCCATACAGGCAGGGGAACCGGTAGACACCAGCTTGGAAAACCACCACGGGCAGCAGCGTTCTCCAGCAGCC